ATTGATTCCCGTGGGATATGCGCGCGCTCAACGAGACTCGGAAGTCTCGACGTATGTGCACTGCTTTTGCTACACATATTATATATATATAAAAATACATATATATATATATATATTCATTCAACTGCTTACCTTAGAAGATTTCTATAGGATTATGGTTACATGTGTGGATGCTAAGAAATTGAATCGCGTAATATAAATTTATATATTATATATATATATATGTATATAATATGTCATATACAAGTATATATCATACATATATAAGGTATATGAGAAACTATAAAAAAAAGCTCGTAAAAACGTAAAATAATGTATTTGTGTTTTTCTATTTTCTTTTTGTTTTTTTTTTAATAATATTTCAATCGACGCGTAGGATATTTTATTTTATGTGTTATCGTAAATTAATTTCAAAAAAAACTAAATTAGATTTTTTAAGGAGGAAAAAATATGTGTGATGATTGATATCGTTCATAAATATCTAGTTTGCTTAGCGTTTTGCTTACCACGTTTCTCCTTTATTCATATATACTATTTATACGTATATACATATATATATATATATATATACCTACATTTCTCTCGTTTTCACCCCTTCCAACGATTCGCGAAGGACGTTGAACCTGCCGCCACGACTACCACCCCACGTAAGGCACGCGCGAGGGTGGGAAGGGAACGTCTTGTTTCGGTGTAACGCTTCCTCTCTTTTGGGCATTAATGATTTTCTCTTGGTGTGGTACCTACCACATTTGGGACGTTTTATTTATGTCATTTCATTTTATTTCGCCGTAGTGTCGTTGCCCTTTTTCGTAGTCACGGTTTTTTTTTCCCCTATCACACGAATTGCCTCTTCGAGTTCACGAATATTATATCCTATTATTTTTTTTAGATTTTATAGAATATTACGCGCAAATTTTTATATTTCAATTATTGTACGGGGAAAAGAAATTGGAGGGATGGTGAGGGAGGAGGTAACTATTAAAAAAATTCTTATTGGATCTGATTTTAATTATCAATTTAATATCTTTTTATTCGAGATAATATTTTTTCACACGATTAGGTTGAGTATTTTTTTCTTTTTTTCTTTTTTTGTACATCTTTATTATTTATCATAAATTATTTTATACACAACACGTGTAGTTTTCTTTTTGCATTAAATAGTATATATTAATTAATAACACGCGCGAGACACGAGAGATATGGGAATGAAATTATTACGCGATCATGTAAGATTTATCTTAGCGATCTTTAAATATAGTATCGATCATCACGCGTACTGTGATTCCTTAGGGTTGTTATTTTAAAGAGTAACGGATAATAATACAACCCTTGTCAAAGAGTAACTAAAATCACGGCTGGCCGCGGGGCACTTACAGAACAGTGAATATCGAGTTCAAAGGACATTGAGAAGGCCGAAGGTCGCCTTCCTATCCAAGCAACCCTCTCTCTTTCTCCTCTCTCTTTCTCTCTCTCCCTCTCTCTCTCTCTCTCTCTCTCTCTCTCTCTCTCTTTCGGCGTCCTCGACACGACGGCATTTAGCAAAGCAGGTCGTGAACTTCGGTTGAGAGATTGAATGGGGCACTGGAGCACAATCCTAAGGTCGTCTGGCGAGTACTCGTGGCACGAAGCTCGTATCGAGAGAGAAAGGGAGACAGCGAGAGAAACGTTTTCCCATCGAGAGTGAGCGAGATAAAAGAGAAAGCGAGAGAACGATAGAGAAAGAGAAAGAGAAAGAGATAGAGGGGGGAGGGGGTGTGGGCGGTAGGAGAAGAGTGAACGAGAAGGTCGGAGGGTAGAGAAGGAGAGATAAGGATGGTAATAAGGGTGCAAACGGTAGACGAAAGAGTGAGAGAGAGAGAGGGACGGACGCACGAGACACGCAAAGGAGATCCGCAAGGCGTTGAAAGGGGAAAGGAGAGAAGAGAAGAGGGGGATAGATAGAGAGGAAGTTGCTTCCGAGTGAAAGCGAGAAAGGTAGAGAATGAAAGAGGTAGTAGTAGTAGTAGTAGTAGTAGGAAGCGGGGGGAGGATTCAGATATCACGCCTGACCCCACGGTTCTTCTCTCTTGCTCGTTCACTCGCTCACTTCCTCCGGGTGGCTGGCTGGCTGGCTGGCTGGTTGACTGGATGGTTGGGTGGATTGCTGGCTGGCTGGCTGGCTGGCTGGCTGGTTGGCATGGCTGGCTGGCTGGCTGGCTGACTGGCTCGGGGCGAAAATCCAGCGCGTAAACTCGCGCACCATGCCACTACAAACTCCACTCCACGGGCTTCTACCTACCTCTGTTACCTCTCTGCTTTTACCAGCCAACAAACCCGACCTTCCTGCCTGCCTGCCTGCCTGCCTGCCTGTCTGTCTGCCTTTGCTACCTCTGCTGCTACTGCTGCTTGCTTGCTTCCTACAACTACCACACTGCTCTACTACTACTACTACTATTACTACTATTACTACTACTACTACTACTACTACTGCACTCTTCCTCCTCTTCCTCCTCCTCCTCCTCCACGATCACTACCGCTGTTACTATCACCGACACGCTCTCTTGCTGCTGCTACTACTGATGGTGCCGTGCTGCTGCTGCTGCTGCTGCCGTAGTGCCCGTTACGACCTACGATATCGCTATTCATGAATGAAACCCACGTGCTAACCACGTGTTCGCCTATAAAGAGATTATTCCTATACGAGAGATCTATTAATCCTGATGATAATCATTGTCAAATGATCACGCGTTATAATACGAAGTTTATTTGTTTTAATTCATTTGCGATAAAATTAATTTTATTATTTTTTTTTTTTTTATATACATGTGCATATCTTAGATAGGACATTTTTTCTTTTTTTTTTTAATCAATCGAAGAAGATAAATATTTTTTGTAAAGATAGATTTGATAAATGATTCTTTTTTTGTTTTCAATTAGAGAATGAAAATGAAATAGTAAGTTGGTCAGGAATTAGTGAGAATGGAAAGGAAGGCACAACGAGGGCATACAATTTTTTATTTTTATTTTTTTTTTCATTTTTTTTTGTCAGGATGTATGTATGAATGGGTGGGACAAGGTAAATAAACGACTCTCGGACTAAAAGCACTTCGTTTTGAGCTCGCCGTTTCGCCGGTGTGTTTGTCATTGACTTACGAGCAAGATAGAGATATATGTATGCATGTATGTGTGCATTAGGGATGTGTAAAATTACAGGTACACGAATACTTGGGTCGAGTTTTTGAAAAGTCTTACTCGTATAGTAACATTCTTACGAATGTTCGAGCAAACCGACGTTTACTGATATTTCGATTTTGTGGAAAAGTTTTACATTTTTGGGTCTTGTCAAAAGAAATTTATTTTGATATCTCGTTATGTGTTAGAACGTTTACTTTCGTATAACAAGGAACAAATGTATAAGACATTCTATTAATTTTTCCATTTTCATTTTCGTGAAATTCGTATTACATTTTATATACTAGTTTTGACAGCAACATCTTCAGTAATTTATGATACAAGTTTTACAGAAAATAATAGACTTTTGATATATTTTATTCGGAAATAAATGTAAAGTAATATATTATACCCTTTGTTCGCAAGTTTCACAGGTGCAAGGGAAAAATTTAAAAACGTACGTAAATTTATCGATGATAAGAAATAATCATTTGAATTAAGTACAGGAAGTTGAATACTTGGATTCATAATAATTGGAATTTTGGAATAATTGAAATTTCAACGTATGCAATGTTTAAACAGTTAATTGTTTTATACGTGTAATTGAATAAGCTGCCGTTTATGTAAGAAACAATGCGAGAGAATATAAATTTAACAGAGTTGAATCTCATCAAAGCAATAACTAACCCCCTTAACCGGAGTCCATTGAAGATGCTACGAAAATATCGAGCGGTGAAAAATATCCGACAGTCTCTCAAATATTTTCTATTTTATTTCGGATTAATACGGAATCGGGGAAGCAAACACGTTAATTAGAGATATATAAGCAGAGTTACTACGTTCACGATTTACGTTTATACGAAAATAGTGATTCGTTATAATATAATAATTCCGAATAAACGTTAAACAATCTGATATATGTATATTAAAAATGATACAAAATATCGTTCAATTATTGCATTTTAGTCAGGATAATAATAAAGGATAATTTTCGTTAATATCTAGACCATTAAAAAGATTTTCTTTTTCCTTCATTACCATATAAAATGTGAGGATTAACTTAGAGCTAATTTTAACGCGATTCCCTTCTACGAGATCGATCCCAATTTCCGCGTTATATTATCACGAACGGAAAGTAGCAGACAAAGAGAGTATATAGATAGATTCATTCCATCCCTAAGAGTCTACATATATATAACATATGTAATACATAAATCCATATAATTTTGAGAGTAGTTTCGACGGTGTAGTGGCGCGGGACGTTCGCGATTCCGTCCTGACTGCGCATCTACCTACTCTCTCATATACATACATATAATCCATACCACATAATCTTAATAGTGGTAGTAAAAGTCTAGCACGGCATAATAGAATAGTGGGGGAAAAGAAGAAGAAGAAAAAAAAAAGATAGAAAGGAAAATTGCGTGCGAGTGAAAAGGTAAGATGATGCGTTTCTATAAAGAAAAACAGAGAAGTATATATATATATAGATAGAAATAAAGAGAGAAAGAAAAACAATCAGCAGCAGACAGCCCCCGAAAAAAGAAAGAGAGATAGAAATAAATAATAAATAAATAAATAAATAAAGAAAGATACGTGTATGCAGTTAAACGGTAGAAGAGAAAAAGAGAAATGGATGACAGTAGTTAGACAGAGATAGATAGATAGATAGATAGAGAGAGAGAGAGAGAGCGATAGGTAGGAGGTGGTAGGGCCGATTGCACTGCTGGGGGTGGGCGGGAGAAGAGAGAGAGGGGTAGCGTGCCACCCCTCCGCTCTCCCCCCGACTCCCACCCCCACCCCTCTTCTCTGTTGGCTCGTGCACGCGACTCAGTCGCGCACTGCGTCGACGGTGGTCGACTATCGCGAGGTAGCACGCGTTGCGCGCACGACGCGAGTCGCACGACCTAGCCTAATCCGCGTGGGCCGCTTATCTCGAGCGTACTAACCTCAAAGCCGCGAGGGGAAACAGGAGAAGAAAGGGGAAGGAAGAGGGGTCTAAGGAAGGGTGGTAGGGAGGGAGGTGGGGCAAAGGAGGAGGAGAACTACCTGGAGGATTCGCTGGCCTCCTGTCGTCGCGTTGAATACGCCCGTGGAATCCTCTCTCGATCACGTGAGATAAAGAGAGAAAGAGATAAAAAGATAAAAAAGATAAAAAAAGAAAAAGAGGAGGAACGAGTTGGTGGAGCCCTTGGCTATAGGACGGAAGAGCAATAACTTAATCGTCGCCACGTGTCGTCGAATCTTCTATCTTTTTTCTTCTTATTCCTATTCTTATTCTTATTCTTTTTATTCTTGTTTTATCTTATATTTTTATCGTCGCGTTTTCCTCTACGATATTTTGATTAAAAAGGGGAAGAGAACGGAAGGACTTTTGGAAGAGATAAAAAGAAAGAAAAAAGAGAGAGAGAGAGAGAGAGAGAGGAAGGTGGTGGATCGTTGGGAGATGGGGGGTGGTGGGGAGACGATCTCGTCGCGAGCCAGCCGGCGATCGAAAGTAATCCGCCATGTCAGGGGGAACGCCATAATATCGTTGACGAGAAACCTACTACGATAATCATTGAAGGCGTTCGATGATCTCTCGATAATCGATCGATAGAATTGCATCGCGTAACGTTTCTTGTTACGTTTATTACTCCGTTTGCGTATATACCTTCGTACGTTCGTTCATTCGTTCGTTCGTTTGTTCGTACAGTTTGTTTGTTTGTTTGTTTGTTTATTTGTTTGTTTGTTCGGTAAAAAATTATAGACGCCGGGGTAAGTTAGTTCGTTCGTTCGTTCCCTCGTTCCTTCGTTCATTCGTTCGTTCGTTCGTTCGTTCGTTCGAGCCGAAGGAAAAGCCGAGTGTTCGCGATACATTCGTTCATTCGTCGTTTGTTCGTTCGTTGGTTCGTTCGTTCGTTCGTTCGTTCGTTCGTGTTTGTTCGTTAATCTTCGATTTCGTGTCGCGATAATCGAAAAAGTGTTAACGTGATAATAAACATATAAACGTAAACGACTAAATAAACATAAAATAAAAAATATAAAAAGGGCTCGATCCTCGTTAGATCGAATAAAAAGTGTTGTTTAGTTCCACCTATTTGTGGATGGATGGCGAACACAGGTGTTGAAGAAACAACGAGGATCGTACGATGAGCGACGGTATTGCCGGTGCGATCGCGATCAGTTTGTTCGGTAGCGATCAATCGATCTTGTGTCTTCGATCTGGTGCCACTTGACGATTCTTCCTTTTGTTTCTTTTTTTTTTTTTTCACTCATCAAGGACTCGTATTCTAGGAGACGAGAATAAGAGGAGGGACAGCATGGACACTGCGGGTTACTCGGCACTATCCAATGACGACGTTTGCAGAATGTTTGATCAGTATTCCTATAAGGTTAGTTTTATTATATTTTAGAGATTTATATTTATCGATCATCCTTTTATATACGTTATAAATTATTGAACGTTCGTTAAATTTATTACGATATTTTCATATGTTCTCTTACAATTTAAACGGCGATTTAATTAAAAACTTTATGTGAATATATATTTAATAGAAATTTTTTTATGGGGATTATTATATGATATTTATAAATACATATAATAATTATAAATGATTCATTATCATTTTATATTATCTGTATCTAGTTTCTTTTTTTTTTCATCCTCATCTACCAATTAGTATGAAGAAAAGTTTGGCGCGCTTTTCGAAGGCGCACTCTTTTGGATTTGATTGGAACTAACATCGTTAATATTTTTCTCAAAGAACAAAAAAACGCGTTCGATTATTTTTCTATAGAGATAGGAAAAGAAAGTCCATTATTTTATATATTACATTACTTTTCGTAACAGTCCATTTTTCGCATATAGTTTAGAAAAGATTTTTTAACGTTACAATCTTCGGAGAGATTCTTTATTTCATTTGCGGCTTCTCCATAATATTCTTTCTCTCGTTCTCTCTCTCTCTCTTTTACTTACTCACTCACTTTTTTTCCCTCTTTATTTCTCTACTTGACGTTATATCTTTTCTTATCGAAAGTACGAAAGTTATAATGCAAAAGTTTTCTGCGAAAAACTTTCTTTTTATGCGCCACCACTCTTTCTCTCTCTCTTCTCTCTCTCTCTCTCTCTCTCTCTCTCTCACACTGTAATTACTTTCGTGAAATATGGTGAAGTTCCTTTTATTCGCGATATACAATAAATCCTATCTATCTCTCTCTCTCTCTCTCTCTCT